AGGGGAGGTGGCTCCTCGTCGCGTCCCGTGGCGCAGCCCCGGGAGGGGGGAAACCAGCGATTTCGCGGAAATGTTTTATTTGTTTAAATCTCTATCAAAGCGCGGGCTTTAGCCAGGAATGGGCAGAATTGCGGTGTTCTTTAAGTAGTTTTCTGCCTTCCGTGACTCTTCATGCATATGTATCTGCGTATAAGCGCATAAAACCGCCTGCCCTGCCCCGGTGAGTCATTAATTACAGTGCGGGCTGCTCGGGGATGCGCCACTCGCTAATTGCTCGCTAATTAGACCCTGCTCTGCCCGCGTGCCAAGCGCCTCTGGGTGCTGCCTTGCAGCCTCCTGCGCAGCCCAAGCGCCGGCCCCTTCCTCAGCCCTCGCGGGGTGGCATTAGGGGACACCTTAATGGTGCAGTAATTGCTGGGAAAGGGATTTTTCTTAACTAGTGCCTTTTGGATAAACGTTGCTCGTCTGAGCTCCCCGGCTGTTCGCGCTAGATCCTCTCCTTTTGCAGGTTCCGCAGGGACATGGCCGTGAGAGCCTGTGGCCTGATAATCTACAGGAGGCTGCAGCCCGCAGCCACTTCAAAGGTCGCCGACACCATCGAGTACCTCCTCCTGCAGACGTCCTATGGGACCCACCACTGGACCCCTCCCAAAGGTGATGTTTGTTTTGCTGTTATGCTTAAGTGCTGTTTGCATTAGAGAGGTTGCAGACTGACCTTTGGCTGAACACTGCTGCGGTCAGCTTTGTGAGGCAGTTTAATCAGCTCAGCAGCTCTGGCTTTTTCAGCAGCAGAGTGGGGAGTTTTGTGGCCCAAATTCCTTAAAAATAGTTGTATAAACTCCTGGGTGTGACATTTTGCAAGGGGAAGGTCACCCAGCCCTACTCATTCAGATGTCTCAAGCTTTTGTCATGTATTCAGCAGCTAATTAAGTGGGTAGGGAGTCAAGTTATCATCTTCCATCTCAGACCTGACCCTCTGGCAGGCATCCTTATTGTAGATGCAGGGGTGTTGGATCCTCTCATGATCAGAGTGGTCATGACTTGCAACACACTGGGTGATAAACTAAAATCGGTGATGACTTATCTTAAAATAACTTAAAATTCAGGAGGTGATTGATGAAATGGGAAGAACTTGTGCAGCAGAGACGAGAGAAACAGTTAGGAGGAGTAGCCTTATCAGCCATCCTCACCATGAGGCCTGAAGAAGACAAGAAGCTCTTGCAGTACCCTGGGGCTCACAGCAACATCTTGTCTGTAAGGATGCATGAGAGAGCCAAATTTGGTTGTACAGCCTTGCAGGCCTTGTATTGATGAAAAAAAACCCACAGAAATAATTTAAACTCCTCATAGATCTTCTCAAGCTGTTTCTTATGCTGTAAGATTTCTCCTTGCCCGTTTTTTAACTACTCTTTACTACTTTTTTCATAAAATGGAGCGCTGTAAAAGCATAGTGCTTGGACAAGGCTTCAAAAGGAAATTGCAAATTGACAAAAAGCTACTAATGGTATCAACTTCACCCTGCTATTAAAGGAAAGAACGATATTTTCCAAACCTCTTCCTCCATACTCTTCACCAAAGGCTGAAGGAGTAGTTTGTGGGCTACTCAAAAGCCAAAAAAAAAAAAAAAAATAGACCTGGGCTGGGACATTCTTGTTCCGTATGGAAAGATTCACTGGGAATACTGTAGTTGTGGACAAGCCAAAACACTTGAGTGAAATGACTCAAACACCTACTACTGTGGCTGCCTGAGGTGCATCTTTTAAGGCTTTTGGATCAGAAATAATAGAAAAGCCATGATCTGATGACAGATGTACTAGTTGCTTGCTAAATATTTTGGGGCAGTAAATGAATGAGCCATTGCATTTCTCTGTTGTGTGTGGTGTGACTGGCCTTCAAAAGCAGCCACAGGTTGCATGATGCAAAAACAATGATGTAACTCTACATGATGTAGACCTGTTTTTTAATGTATCAGGAGAGAGGTTGGAAAGGAGTTATCACACCTGCAAGAGCATGCAGGAGATGAGCCCACTTACAGGTACAGCTGTTGATACTTTAAATGTCCCTTAAGCAGCTCTTAGGGGATTAAACTGTACCTGCTTGAATCCCCCCAAATGAGCTTCCTCAATCTCAGCTCCTAGAACAGTGACATTTTGAGTGACTACCTGAGCCTGATGGGAGCGGATGCAGAGTTCATTTTGCTCCTCAGCATATCGGAACTTCATTAGCGTGAATCAGTGCTTTGAGGATCTAGAAGGTGCTGTGTGATGTGCTGGCAGCAGTTCTTTCCTCTCTCAAAAGCAGGGCATGTTGCACAAAGCTGGAAACTTTCTGACCTCTGATTTGTTAGCAAGGGTGAGATGAAGTGATTCCGCCTTTTCCCCTGCTAGTGGGCAAGTGAGGGTTGTGTTTTTATCCAGAATGGAATCTCAGCCCTTCAGCTCTTTCTGCAATCTTAGCTCATCACATGTTTAATGACTATGGGTGATAGTTATCCTTTAAAAAGTAGTTACTTACTGTTGATGAATGTTCTGTGGTTGTTCCTTACCGATACTGGAAAGGTAACCCCGATGTTCAGGCTGAATGGATTCTGTTTCTCAATCGTTAGTAAAAATCCCAGCTGTGGAAATACTGACCTTGCTAAAAAAGGGACAGCTTAACTTGCAATGTTGAGAATTGGGGGAAAAATATTACTTAAAGCCTCAGTGTGCTTGATCTCATATATAAGGCATCAGTATACAACATCATGTGTTGGTGTCCATACAGCTGCTTTTTGAACAGAAGTGTATCTTACCTTTGAGTTGGTGTCATGTTGTTGAGTTCCTGGTACACAGGGAAACAAGTGAGTGGAACCTTTTGGGATGGAGCAGGGGATTCTTATCTAGCCGAGTTCTAGTGCTAAAGGTTACTTTGGATACGAGGAAAGGTTCACCTCTGTGCTGAAATCATGACAGGGAACTTTTTTCTTTCTTTTTTTTTTTTCTTTTGTAACTCCCCAACTCCTTGTATGTTGATCTTTTGAGATCTTTTCTGGCTTGTTCTATTTCTGTTCATCCAAAGCTTTCATGAGAAAATCAAATCTGACTTTTCTCAGCAAAAGTATGAACCGTTTGGGATATGTTATATTTATCCATTGTTTGTAATGGCACCTCTCATTTTAAGTTATATAAGAGAGAAGTGGAGCCTTGGAGGAGTACGTAGCTGGTGAAAGGTCTGGCTTCGGGTTTGCTCTATTTCAGAAGGGATTATGGAAGAAGAATGAAAGCACCAGACTGTTATGCATCCAAACACAGGAGAATGAGACCATTTTGGTCTCTTTAGTCTCATAATTTTGTACTCAAAAGTTTCTAAGATATAAGACATCTCAGAATAGGTAACCATTTGATCTACCATTGAAATACAGCGATGTCAAGGATGAAGATTGGAGACAGTTCCTTCTTCCCTTTACATGAGTGAATTAATTTGCCTCTCCAGTGGAAGATGTTCCCTCTCTGTGATTAACTCTGCGCTAGTTTAGGATGTGTTGGAATAAGGCAGGTGTGCGGGGAGCCTAGATTTTTTTCTTTGTTATAAAGCAGAGTTCAAACTGTTGTTCTTGGGCCCATGTCCTCTGGTGAGAATCCAGGGGCTGTTTTTTTTTTTTTTTTCTTGAAATCCACTTTTAAAATAGCAATATTACCTCATTGCTAGCTGAAAGGAAAAAAAAAAATGCTTCCTACACGAGGCTTAATTTTCACCTTCTTGGCAGGCCACGTGGATCCAGGAGAGGATGACCTCCAAACAGCCTTGCGGGAGACTCAGGAAGAGGCTGGTCTCCAGGCCGCTCAGCTCACCCTCGTGGATGGCTACAAGAAGGAGCTGCACTACCCAGTCAACGGCAAACCCAAGACCGTCGTTTACTGGCTGGCAGAAATGAACGACTATAACACGGAAATCAAGCTCTCCGAGGAGCACCAGGCTTTCCAGTGGCTGAAGCTGGAGGATGCCTGCAAATTTGCAGAATATGAGGATATGCAAGCAATGCTGAAAGATGCACATCAGTTTCTTTGCTCCAGAAAATAAATGCATTGTGGAGGATAAGGGAAACTTCTAAAGAAACACAGCTTGATTTTTTTTTTTTGACAAGTAGAATTGGATGGCCGCAGAAATGTAGATTCCCTTTTTTTTTTTAATCTATACAAATTCAGTGAAGATACTTGGAGCTTTCAGAGACTTTGTGCTTTTGTGTCCTCTAGCTTTTCTAACTCGTGGAAAAGCGTGATCTGATTCAACCGACAAGCCAGATATGTCTGAATTGAAAGCACAGCTAACAGACTTCTTGTGTCCTCTATTTTTTTTCAAAGTGCTAAGCAAGGAAGGGTCTTTCTTGAAACAGAAATGCGTGATATATCCTGAGCTGCTGATGCTAGAACTGCAAAAGTCTGAAGATGAGCGTATGGAGATAATTAATAACAAATGCTTACTGCAAAAGTTGCACTGCAAAAGTTGCATTTCAAATAGGGCAGTGGCAGTTCTGTTCGTGGCACCTTCTTTGATTTGCTCTGATTACTTGTCTGTCATTTCAGGTCTTTGTTTGTATCATGAATGTTTGTACATCACTAATCTACTGTTATAAAAACAGTTTCCATCCAAGGAAGCTTAGTAAACAGCTGACATAAAGTATTTAAAAGGTAAATTCAAAGTTATTGTCTGTCTTTGCTTTTTATTTTTGCCACCTTGCTCTCTAACAGTAATGTTACATGCACATTTTTCCCAATACAGTGGGAAAAATGAACTCTCTTGCTGCTTGGAGCCCCAGCTTCTGCCCAAAATACCTAAGCTTATGAGCAATCTTACAGCAATTTGATCATAGCAGGGTTTTAGTGACTGCAGGCTGCACCCGCATGTGAGCAGCAAGGTCATGTGCAGTGCTGTAGATGGTCATACTGCGTGATCACAGTAGCCTGTGTTGGTGCCACTGAGCTCACCTGCATCTGATCCGCTGTGAATATCTCTATAAATTCCTTGATATCAGTAGGAATTAAGCTGGTTAGTGCTTTGTGTGGTCATGTATGCCTTGGTAGTAATAAGTGGTATCTTCTGGATGTTTGGGTACCTTAATACCAAAAAAAAAAAAAAAAGAACTGGTGGTGTTAACACTTTTGGATGAGCAAAT